GGGGGAGCGGTATGGGTTAGAGCAGTGTGCAGGGGGTAGCAGTATTGGTTAGCAGTGTTCAGGGGGTAGCGGTAATGGTTAGAGCAGTGTTCAGGGGTAATCCCTTTCCCCCTGAACACTGCTCTAACCAATAGCGCTCGCTCCCTAGGCAATGCTGTTGATTGGAGCAGTGGTCGGGCAGGGGGGCACATTGGACAGCTGGAGAGTCGGGTTGCTGCTTTGTGTGGGAGACAATCCGACTCTCCTACATGCTGCCAGCACAGAGTATTTTAACCCTGGTCACATAACTAAGATTGCAAGCTCTCAGGAGCAGGGCCCTCCTAACCATCTTGTCTTGAATTGTTTTGTAACTAGGGATGCACTAATACCGGTTTTTCGGTGTTGAGTGCCGATATTTATCTTTCGGTACTCGCCGATACAGAGTACCGGTACTTCCGCTATCGTGGAGCTGGCTTCCCGGGCAATCAGCAAGCCGGGCGGCAGGTGCCACCCGGCTTCCCGATTGGCCGGGAACTGGCTCCATGATTCCTCGCGCCACTGCCGGCCAAAGGAAATCTCCCTCTGATCAGAGGTTCCGGTATCAGGGGTAAGTCTCTGAGCATTTGGACGAGTACTAACTCAAATACTCGGTATCGGCACGGATACTAATATCGGTGCATCCCTAATTGTAACTGTACTATCTCCCTTTATATTATAAAGAGCTGTTGGCACTATATAAATCCTGTTTCACAATAATACATATAAAGGGTCCAGTGTGGGATTTAACAGTGACATTAATCAGAACACGGACAGAGAGTAAAAACATATCAATCTAACCCCACAGAACCCCTGCATAGGCAGCCATCTTTTGTTGGTGCCTATTGCCCTTTCAATGGGAATGATGACAGTGGATATTTGGACATACAGGTTGGAAGATCTGAAGTGACAGTGACATGGAGGACGAGGCTGTGAGATGCCACATGTGACGGGGATAGGGAAGAGACAGACAAGTGACAATGGATATGACAATTGGGGACACGTCAGCTGGGTGCATAGCTCACATGGAGGTGATCTGTGGTATTATATTGACACAAGCCGCCAGCTTCTTCTGCACCAGACCCCTGTACAGAGACATAGATCATACAGGTCAGAACACACAACAAACACGCTGTGACATACATGTATTATCTACAATTTGCGGCTTACTTATGAAAGGTCAGAATCAACTTTTCGCTATTCCTTTAAGGGAAAAAATGCAATAACAAGAAATATAGACACAATGGAAGTCTACATGTTCCTCTCAGTACAGGTCCCTCCAATACTTTGGGGTCTATTTATAAAACGTTCCCAGAGTGAATGTCTCTGCGAAGGAGATTCTTAGCACATTATGGCCACTAGATGGAGCTGAGGAGCATAGGAATTTCCTATGCTCCTCAGCTCCATCTAGTGGCCATAACGGGGACAAAGGGGCTTATGTATAAGACATTCACAGAGCAAACGTCTGAGCGAACAGGATTCTTAGTGGATTAAGGCCACAAGATGGAGCGGAGGAGCCTATGTATTTTCTATGCTCCTTGGCTTCATCTGCGGGCCATAATGTGCTGCAAAGCAAAACAAACGACAAACGCACTCAACAATTTGTTACCAGTTATACAGTAAGGTGCACACGAAATGGGCTTTGAACAGTAAAACAGCAGAAAGGCATCATGGCACACTCACAAACCAGCATGTAAAACAACTTGTCTCACCACTAAGGATAATGACAGAGGTTTGGCTACACGTCTTCTGCAGAGGATGTGAAAGCCGCACTGCCGTATATCCAAACCTCTGTCATTATCCTTAGTGGTGAGACATGTTGTTTTACATGCTGGTTTGTGAGTGTGCCATGATGCCTTTCTGCTGTTTTACTGTTCAAAGCCCATTTCGTGTGCACCTTACTGTATAACTGGTAACAAATTGTTGAGTGCGTTTGTCGTTTGTTTTGCTT